CACATTCTTGATATCGTTTTGATATTAAATCGGGAAATGCTTGTTTGAGTCATTATAGAACAATTTGGAGGTTATAAAAGCTTAAGGTTTGGTATCTATATTCAATACGTGATTAAATAATCTGGTCTAACATCTGTGCTGCAAGAGCCTGTTTACATTCCTAGGAGGCCTGTTGGCCTAGAGGATATTTGAGAAAGTATCTTGAGAAAGAGGCCATCACACAAAACTATTCATTATACCAGAAGAGAAAAGTCAACAAGGCCCAAGCTCATGGCAAACTCCAGGATTGAGAAGGAGCTTTGATGTGTGATAGTGCTAACATTGACTGGAAATCCGTTTAAATGTTCTGCATTTTCAGAAACCGGAATAAACTATTGTGTGTATATCTATAGTCAATGTATAGAGCCTACACAGGGAATATCAATAGCTAGTTTCTCTAAACAGCATGTCCTGAATATATTCCTGAACAAGATAAGCCTCATGTAAACACACTACAGTTCTAAAAGTGTTTCGAGCAACATTTCAAGCTCTTAGTTGAGAATTCACACTGTCTTTACCCTTCATATACAAGCTGGTCTCAAACAGCACAACAAAAGACTTCAATGTACAGCCGGGAGTTCCAATAGACCACCAAAGATGAGACTGTATCAATAGTAACACAGGTTTGTTTTCTGTTACACTTAGAATGAGCAAAACATATACTGCCTTCAATTTTTAAATGTCTTCAGCTGGTGGCTCCGTTGTGTCAGGAGATAGCAACGCTCCCAAACTCTTTCCTTCAAAATGTGAGATGTTATCCGCCTCCTCCCCGACTCTGTCTCGGGCAACAGACATTCAGAACCCAAACCTTCATGTCAAAGGCAAGATAAAGTATCCCTGTGTGAGCCAGAAAGCACTTTCATCTTACAGAGGGAGCTAAATAAGATGCACAGCGCTGCGTCGCAGATACCGGCTCCATCGCTACAGATCCATTTTCCCAGCGTGGAATTTTCGAGGCTGTTTGATGCTGCACAATGATTAAAGTAATTGGAAAGTCTAAAAGTGTAAGTCCAAACCTAATTTGCATGTGATTAGTTTATGCTTTAGGAGTCATTTGAGGCTACATTTGAATACAAGCATTTGAAATAAAGCGAAGAATGCAGAAAAATACAAATGATCTCGCAAAATGCCAGGAGCACCTGATTGGCACCGCGAGAAAGAAAACCCATATAGCTGGAGGCAGAAAACCCAAACACCCACAGATGCAATCAACAGCAAGAATAGCGTGTGTGTGTGTGTGTGTGTGCGTGCGTGCATGTGTATTAACCTGCTGCATTATATATCTGCTGTATGAGAATGATACAAGCTATCAAAGATAAAAAATGTAGTGGAAAACAGATTAAGAAGGGTTCAAGTATAGATAATATAAGTATGCGCGGGAAAGACGACAATAGCTCGTACCAATTCGGGATGAGGACGAAAGATACAAATGGTTTACCTGTCTTAGGTCTAGTTTAAAAAGTGAACCGTCCAATCTCTAACGCTATTAAGGGGTTCGAGTAACCGATCCCAATAAGTCAGGTGAATGGTCGGTGTACTTTAAACCGCTACCTCCATTATTAACGTTTTCGCCGGTACAAAAGTTTACACCACAGTAGCAAACACTGATTAACAGTTGGTAGGACTGAAAAGATCTCAGGTAAAGTTCAAAGGGTGGATCAAAATGTGCGAAGTGATAGAATGACCTTTGTAATACTATGTTGTGTAAACTATAAGTATTATGTATTATAGGTGTAAATTTATAAGGGTGATGTATTGTGTTCTTGCACTGTCAATTGACTTATAGCGGCACGGACCCGGTCCCGAAAAGGGGAGAGTCAACCGTGTGAAAAGGAAGTCGTCTACGGGAGTAAAAGGGGCGGCTCTGTAAAACGACAAAAAATCCCGCTGCAGGTTGTCGGACCTACCCGTCGTTATATTGCCGGCGCACTATTCCGAAGAGAGTCCCCGGACAACGAAGGTCCGTTGGGGTTCGGGCGAAGTGAACGAGCGCACGGTACTCCTCTCGAGCCCGGTAACCTAACCCCTCCCTGTCGTCGGTCTCTCTGTAAACGTAAAAGACATTTTTAATTCTCAGTTAACTACGACCTTTTCTGCAAGGAACTACGGAGCTAAATAACGGATTGGAGGGGTGGGCTCCTAAATATAGAAAGAGGAAGTTAGGAAGGACAGTACGTTACTGGGTGAGAATTACGTATATAGCTTGGTGGACTGTGTAATGAATTAGTGGGGCCTGCGGATTAGTGTTTAGATCTCTACCGTAGTAGTTGTTCCCTAAGTGACCGGTTACGTGGCGAAGGGACGGTTTAATTGTTTGTTCTTGTTTACCTCGTCGTCCCTCCCCTTCCTTATATCATCTCTCGGTCGAATCTTTTCAGAAATAGTTTAGACGGTCTTTTCGATATAGAGGTTGTGGTAGATAGGGAGAATTATAGCTAGGGACACTTACTCTGTTCAGTCGAATAAAAGGAGTAACACAGAATCCCCCTGTACGTCGCGCCCCCAACGGAAACGAACTCATGTATGAGTTAATAATTGCAACGAGTACAAAGGATGCGTTGATATACGGGAGGCACGAAGCAAATTTGGTGACCATCGGACCGCGCTCTCAGCTTCTACATACTAGAAATTATTTTCGGTGGTGTACGGGTTAAACATGTATGCTGACTTTACGCAGCGGATACACACAGAAAGTCAGGGGACACATAGACACCGTAGCAGGGAACAAGTGAAAGGGGTAAACCTAACAACGAAGTTACGTCGACACACGGTTTTGTACGTCTCCTGTTTGGGTTTTTAGTCGGTAATGAATATTGTAATAGGTCGGGTAGCGAAGTCCATAAACTGAATCCCAAACCCGTCACGGGCCACGACTACCGCTGATTTTCAGATATATTTATGTTGCCCCTCTTTGGAAAAACGGGGTGGTTTCATAATCTGGACATAACCAAAAAACACATAGACGTATTAAGTAACAACACTCATAAGTAACATCCAGATAAAATGAGAAAATCATAAAAACGCAAATAGTAGTGTCGTTGTTCTTGAATATACAGAAGTAAAAGAGGGCGAAACGTCTTAGTTGCTCCCTCTTGCGACTTCGGGCATACCAATGTAGGTGCCCCCGAGGTGTACCCTCCCCTGGCCGTTGTACTAACCTGCCGTCGTAGGACGGTCGATGTCCTTTGAGTACAGTAGTGGTAGTTGAGGCGCCCCCCTCAGGACCCTCAAAAAAGGTGGCTCCCCTCCTCGGATTACTAGCTCCTCCGGTACCAGTCTTTCGCTGATATTATGTGACTGATTTACGAGGGTGACACACACCACACACACCACACCACACACACCACACAGACACCACACACACACAACACACACACACCACACACACACCACACAAACAACACCACACACACACCAACACACATACCACACAACCACACCACAACCACACACACCAAAAAACAAGTTAAACCGCTGTCGTC